ACACACACACACACACACACACACACACACACACACACACACACACAGACACACAGACACACACACAGCTGCTGTCTGACAGTCTGTTTACAGCTCAATCCAATGATCTCAAATACGAAATATTTCAAATTGAAGAAACATCCATTATAACCGTTACATTTCAGAACTTCATTTTGTTCATAAAATAAAATGTTCCTGTAGTAGCTCATAGTCAGGCTTAGTAGTATACAACATGCCGGGTATTTCCTCTTCTTGTCTCCTCTCCTCTTTCTTTTCATCTCCGTGTTTTCAATCTTGTCTCCTCCTTCTACTCATCTCCTCTCCACTTCTTGCCTCCTCTCCTCTCTTCATCACTAATCCTCCTCCTCCTCTCATCTACTCTCCTCTCGTCTCCTCTCCTCTTCTTGCCTCCTATCCTCTCACCTTCACTAACCCTCCTCCTCCTCTTCCTCCCCCCCCCCCCCAGGTTCTAACCCCACAGCCAGTAAGGGCTCCCTGGTGGCGGTTACCTTCGGCCCCCGTAGAGGAGGTCCGTGGTCGGGTCAGATTTTGGAGCGACGGGGTACGTCTGTGAGGCTGGGCATCATGCCGACGGCCACGGCCATCGTGGGTCGGTTCCGTACGTACGTTGCCATCGTGGCGGGTCGCGGCATGCAGAGAACCAGGAGGAACCCCGACACGGACCTGTACCTGCTGTTCAACGCCTGGTGTCCTCGTAAGAACTCCTGCAGCGCCTCCTAGTGGAGGATCCTGTCACATCCACATCTTTGGATGGGTGGATGGATAGATGGATGGGTGGATGGATGGATGGATGGATAGATGGATGGATGGATGGATAGATGGATGGGTGGATGGATAGATAGATGGGTGGATGGATAGATGGATGGGTGGATGGATAGATGGATGGGTGGATGGATGGATAGATGGATGGATGGATAGATGGATGGGTGGATGGATGGATGGATGGATAGATGGATGGATGGATAGATGGATGGATGGATAGATGGATTCCACATCTTTATATCATAATAATAATAACATATTGTATTTGTATAGCGCTTTAAAAGGTGCTCAAAGGACACTTTACTTGGTAAAAACAGAAACAATAGAAGCATTGACAATAGAAACAAGATAGATGACTTAACAGTTAGCAACAACACAAAACATACATGACTAACTTCACAGGTTAAAGGTAGATTTAAAGAGATGAGTAATATCAGAAGTTTTAGTCCATAGTGTCATTGAATTGAATAAGTTTAATTTGTTTAATTGTTAATAGGTTTCATTGGTTTGAAGAACTTGTGTTAATGGAGTTTCTTTCATTTTAAAGTGGTTTTAATGAGTTTAAGTAAAGAGGTTTAGTGGCATGCTGTCAAAAGGAAAATAGTAAAAGTTACATAAAGTCTGCATCATTTTCTTTTTAATGAGAAGTTTTCAGACAGTATTGAGTATTTAATACTGTCTCTCTATGCAGAGGACACTGTGTATCTGGGTAACGAGGCCGAGCGGAGGGAGTACGTCCTGAACGACTACGGTGTGATCCATCAGGGCACCTTCAACTCTGTGGTTAACCGCAGTTGGATTTATGGACAAGTATATACACACACACACACACACACACACACACACACACACACACACACATACGTCATAACAAATCACAGAGGATGCGCTTAAGGTCGATACAATGTTTCAAAAGGTGCTTAAAAGAAAATCTAATGTTGTTTTGTAATTGCTTTTTTTATGTATTATTGTTCATGTCTTTCTTGTTTTAGCTGTTATATTATATTTATATTTATATATATATTTATACATTTTCTTTTTCTTTTGTTGTTTGTAATGTATTCATATTGTTACCATAGTTCATATCTTGTAAAAACATCTTATCCACAATATTTTACGTAGTCATATCTTATGCATATTCATTTTATGTTCTCTGTGATATTGTGACATTCTAATATTTTTTAGGTGGAGGCTTCAAATGAGCCCAGTTGGCTTTTTGCCTCTTCCTGCTCTGTGATATTTATTTATCTCTGTTAAGTTTGTTTATTTTTTATTGTTTAAATTGGTCAAAATAAATAAAGTAAACTCAGGTCTACGTGTTGTCTGCCTGCAGTTTGAGCGCGGCGTTTTGGACGCCTGCATTTACATCTTGGATCAGTCCCAGATGCCGATCTACGATCGAGGCAACATCATCAAGGTTGTCAGGAAGGGATCGGCCATGGTGAGACGTCCACTCAACTCTCCATTCCTGCTGTCACAGCTGTACTTCTTAAAGATTAAAGCTTATTCTATCACGCTAGTACACCCACATCTTCTTACTATGCCAACATAAGTACGTTTCCAAAATCTAAAAGTTGTCTTTTTCTGGTGAGTAGTGTAACATTACAGTCTCAGTCTCACTGACCTTTACCTGCCTCTTCGCTCAGGTTAACGCTCAGGACGATAAAGGAGTGTTAGTTGGGAACTGGAGCAATAACTACTCGATGGGCCGGTCCCCGACATCTTGGACGGGCAGCATCCAGATCCTGTTGCAGTACGCCAACACCGGAACCTCCGTCTCCTTCGCACAGTGCTGGGTGTTCGCCGGAGTCTTCAACACCTGTAAGTACTTTTAAAATGCTGGTGTCATGTCAACACTCTTATAAAACTTTGAACTCAGACAGGCTGATGAAACGGACTTACCGTGCACAGAAGTGGTTTTTGCAACCACCAAGAGACGCAAAAAACATCTACAAAGAGACACAAATCAACTACAAAG